TGTTGTCAGTGCATTGATATATATTTACCCAGGGAGCGTTTATTTCGTCACAACTAACTCATTCGCAACACCGGGTAATTTTGGGTAGACAGGTCTACCACCATTGAAAGACACGCTTTCGGTGGGCGATACGCTAGTGTCCCGATTTCTGTGTAACGGGCTCTACGTGGACCTAAATTTTGTGTTTCGCCACTTGGATACGAAGGTTCTTTGGTGACCGAGCAATTTCGTTTCGTTCCACGTCTATGGATCTACTTGGTCTCCAGTTTTGCTCTTCCATATCCTGATTCCCCCATATTGTTGAACTTGTATCACGGAAGTCCGGGAGAATTTCTCGTCTTTTCCACACTAAAGGGGTTTTCATCCAAGCTCAGATTCTCACTCTTTAAGAGATCCCCAATCGTCCCACTATCAAATATGGAAGCTATCTCTGGTTCCGAGTTCTCTTCTCATGCGTAATTGCTCATCCGTCGTCGACTCTTCAATCGATTGCTCATTACCGTGAGATTGTCTTCACATTCTTTTCCTATCGTCTTTATCACGGAGTTGCTCTATGGAGCCTATTGCAGACCATTTGCTCGCTAGACCCAGTCACACGCGTCAATTCATCCCACCAGGTGACTCTAGAAGCCTGTCGGGCTATGGTATTCAACTCCTCTTTTTCGAGAGTCGTGGATTTGTGGAACATTCCCTATTACTCTGTTTTTCCTCCTTCATGTAATCTTTTTAAATTCCGTTGCATATCAGTATTCCTGATTATGGAGTTGACCCCTTTGCTGTTCATCATACTTCTTATTTAATCGGAAAATCCTCTTGACAAAATGCTCTTCGTTTGATTAAAAATCCCAACAATCACTGTTGTCGATCGATTGGATGTTATCATCATGATTATGCACCCAAAAAGAATGTTACACTTTGAGCCTATAGGTACCATTGTTTTACTTACCAGATTTCTTATCCACTCAGGTGTGCTTTGAATGTGTCCTTTCCACCCCATTGTCTTGCAGGATTATGTTTGGAGGCTTTGTCCGGTGCATCAGAGAAACAATCGGTCCACGTGATCAACACATGCCTTCGAGCAATGTGGTGTCTGTTATCCCGACCGGTACCTAGGTCTTTGCTTATGCGTGTTGTTCCCGAAATGCCTGTGGAATTGCTCTCGGTGCTGTACAGGTAGGTTTTCGATGAGTTCTGATCACGACGAATCTGTTTAATGGGTTGTTTAGAAAACTGGTATTTTCTCACCCTTCTGTGACATTTGCGAATAGATTCACAAAACATTTGCCCCGTTTCCTGTCACGTTGCAACACGCCGCAGTGAGAGACTTGAATATGACTTGCACAGGGACTTACCGTTTAGTGGAAATTAGGTTGAATTGCGGAATTTGAACTGTACACTAATATTTCAGAAACATTACAACGAGTATCAGTTTTTCCACTTACTGCAATGAGGTGATTCATTGAAGCATTGATCGTATGTAGACGTTTCAGATATACTACCTTGCGTTTATCATCATCATTTTTTATAATGCTTAACTCATTAAAGAACCGCGCATGTTGTTTACCTGCGTGTTTCACTAATCTACATCGTAATTGATGGAACTCACATTTTTCTAGCACCCGAAATGAAGCGGTTTCATTCAGATACTTTTGCTTGCTAATTCTATTTATTCGGTGAGTTCGCTCAATAAATGTGGTCTTTGTTTCCAGACTGCTTCTCACCAGGGACACGATCCAAACACATCTCCTCTGCTTGCAAAATGTCAGTCAGGTGCTTATTGCAGCAGAAGAGCGCTTGGTTAAGCAGCGTGAAGTTTGGTTGTCCAAAGGTAAGAATTTACCAATAATGAAGACGGTTACTGTTTATCATCATAGTATTTTGTTTCTAATCATTGTACTTTGTAGTTTGCTTTTTTGTCTGCTGTATTTGTTTGTTTTTGTATTGCTTGGCTCTCTCAAACCTAGACTAACGCTGATCTCAACGCTGCCAGTCTAACTCTAATAGACGATGTGTAATTTTGTCAACAGACTCTAACTACTTTGTTTTTGGTAGTAATATGTTACGCAAAATGATTTAATTTCTCGTTGCTCCAGATTCACCAGGTGAACAACCGCGTGCATTGCTCACACCAGATGCTCATAACACTGTGCATAAATCCAGCGGAATCAATATGGTATCAAGCGTGATGCTTCAAACTACAAGTCTTGTTGATGCAGAAATGTATGAACTAGCCGAAGGAGGATCTTTGGCCAGCTTCCCGGCTACTCAGGATATGAACGGAACACAACCAGACCAAGCCACTAAGGATGTCATTCCATGCATAGGGTTGCAACCCGGACGTTCGGTTGTCTTTGCCTGCCTAGAAATTGTTATGTGTGTGCTAGCCCGATATAGACCGGCTTTGCTGGCTCAACTACGTGCAAAAGAATGCGCTCCAAATGGAACTTCCGCTTGTGGTAAGTTCCTATTCCCGTTTAAAGTACTCGATGTTTACGAGGCCTTTCAGCGTTTAACGGCTACTGAATTCTCATTGATTTTCAGATATGAGAAATACGATACCCGAGACCAGGTGTTCGGATAGTTCGGATGCTCCCTTTGTTTTGGCCGCGGCTATTCGTTGTTGCACGTTCGTGCCAGATCTGTGCGCACCTAGCCTACTCCTATCCACCCTAGATTTGATCTCGGGTAGTCGAACAGCCGACTCTAGCACACCCTCGAAAACTGCTCGGGTTGTTGGCAAGGACAATCTTCTGCCCGTGTTTCTTGATCTCGTTGTTCAGTTGGCGCAGGTGAGAAAATAGCACTGTTTTGGTAAACAATGTCCTCATTTTTCTTTTTCACATCCTGTCCAAGCATGTTACGTTTGTCCTTAAGGAGTGTGTAACTACAAAATAAATGTGGCAGTTCGGTTTGTTCATGACTGACCAGCGGAAAATCGAAATGACTGACTGCCTTATGGGCTGAGTCTTTAGCAAAGGCCACCAGTCTCACTTTTTCATGAAACTTTATTTAGCGTTCGGTCAAAGGAAGCATCATGATAAGAGTTTTAAGGAATATATCTGTCACAAAGAGTATTCAATAATACAAAGTTAGGCATTCACGATTAGTTGGCACGTTTTATAAACACATTGAAGTACTGTTGGCCTGAAATATCTGACCGCCAATATATCCATAAAATTTCATTAGAACACAATTCCAATGATGGTTTAGTGTTGCAGAACAGTTTGTGTTATTTTATCGGGTCCGAGGTATATCGGTACTCGTCTATCTGTGTTCGTCTGGAGAGGAATGAGGCCAGAGTGGAATAGCAAACGGAGAGAGAGAGAGATTTGGCATGAACAAGACAAGCGGTTTGTTGAATTAAGGGAATCAAGGGGAAAAGGCTGAAAGCTGGGCGAACATCGTCGATCTGCGTTTTGGTTTTCAGATTGAACAATTTTTTTATCCAAACCGCTTTATTCCCTCGGACATTTTTGAAACATGTGCTGGAAGTTCTAATGAAGCGCGCACATGACTATGCGGACATCGGAATTGCACTGTGGTAGTTGTTTTTCCTTTTCTGTATTGTTTTATGCTACTTCATCTACGAGGTTTTCAGCGAACATTTTGATGATTCTGTTGCGTAAAACTCGCTCTAAGCACAGATACACGCAAATTGGACAAGGACCACGATGCTCAAGTTCTTTTACTTGTCCATGAGGGCAGTGGTTGGCACACTGGTTCTGCGAATTCCGATGGTATTGGTAGAACGAGCGGGATGAAAAAACACATTGACTCCACGAAAGATTCATTCCTTCAATCGAGTAATCATGTTAAACACGAAATGTCATTGAATTATTTGTTCATGACGTCTACTTGAAGAATAACACCAGGAGCTCAAATAAGATAGTCAGTTGTTTATGGTTTTAACACTTTATTTGGTTGTATGACATCTTCAATTTCGTT